TTCTAGTAATCGATAGCTGTTTTGTGTTTTTTATTTAATAATTTTAATTTCATATATTAGCATCTTTTTTAAAATTTTTGGTTGTCTTAAATAATAGTAATTCGTATTTAAAATAATGCCCAAATATATGTAAGACTTTTTGAAATTACAAAAAAAAAATTAGAAAAAAATCAGGTGATTATCAAAATAAAATAGTTATAAAGTAATAAATGATTTCAGTAGATAAATTTATTTTACATATACAATAACATTCCAGTTAATATTATTTATTAATAAATAAATAAGATGAAAATAAATCTAAAAAGGTTACGAGTAATAAATAAATTTTAACATTTTATTTTACTTATCAAAAGAGTATTCAATTTTTCACATATCTTTATTTATTTATTAACAATATCAATATTAAAAAAAAGTTATCAAAATAATTGTTAATAATTTAAAAACATTTGCGGTGAACGATTCCTGGGCCAGATTCATCGTATTCTTGTTTTGAGATCCACATTTGTTGGAAGGTTGAGAGAGAAGCCAAGATAGATCCTCCAATCCAAACAGAGTATTTTCTTTCTGGGGGAGCAATGATCTTAATTTTGATGGTAGATGGGGCAAGGGCGGTGATTTCTTTTTGCATTCTGTCAGCAATACCAGGGTACATGGTGGTACCACCAGACAAAACGGTATTGGCGTACAAGTCTTTACGAATGTCAACATCGCATTTCATGATGGAGTTGTATACGGTTTCGTGAATTCCGCAAGATTCCATACCCAAGAAGGATGGTTGGAACAAAGCTTCAGGGCAACGGAACCTTTCATTACCAATGGTGATAACTTGACCGTCAGGAAGTTCATAAGATTTTTCCAATGAAGTTGAAGCAGCGGCTGTGGCCATTTCTTGTTCGAAGTCCAAAGCCACATAGCAAAGTTTTTCCTTGATGTCTCTTACAATTTCCCTTTCAGCGGTGGTGGTGAAGCTGTATCCTCTTTCGGTCAAGATTTTCATGAGGTAGTCAGTTAAGTCTCGTCCAGCCAAGTCAAGACGAAGGATGGCGTGGGGAAGAGCATAACCTTAAATTTATCAAAGAATAGCGTGTAGCCCTTGTACTTAATTAAATTAGTATTAATAGTTTTTATGCCTAGCTAACTAGGAATTGATTATTTTCATGGGTATTTTGATATTTTGCGAGAAAGATATTTACTTGATTTTTTTTGGTTTTCAAGAGAGTTTTTTCGAAATAGAATAATACTAAACCTATACATTATTTTTAAAAAAATCTCACCTTCGTAAATTGGAACAGTGTGGGATACACCATCTCCAGAATCTAAGACAATACCAGTGGTACGACCAGAGGCATACAAAGAGAGAACAGCTTGAATGGCGACATACATGGCTGGGGTGTTGAATGTTTCAAACATGATTTGTGTCATTTTTTCTCTGTTGGCCTTTGGGTTCAAGGGAGCTTCGGTAAGAAGAATGGGGTGTTCTTCTGGGGCAACTCGGAGTTCATTGTAGAATGTGTGATGCCAAATTTTTTCCATGTCATCCCAGTTGGTGATGATTCCGTGTTCAATGGGGTATTTCAAGGTGAGGATACCTCTTTTGGATTGGGCTTCGTCTCCAACGTAGCTATCTTTTTGACCCATACCGACCATGACACCCTAATAGTAAAAATTATACATTAAAATAGATTAACCCTATTTAAAAAAAAAAAAAGAGAGTTAGGATAACGTTGAAATATATGCACCTGGTGACGGGGTCTGCCGACAATTGATGGAAATACAGCTCGGGGGGCATCATCCCCGGCAAATCCGGCCTTGCACATACCGGAGCCATTGTCTACAACCAATGCTGCAACATCGTCGTCACACATTTTGAGTTATTTGTTTTATCTAAAAAAAAAAAAAAAAAAAATAAGTAAAAAATTAGAGGATAAAATGGCTAATTATTTAGAAAATAGTATTTTTACGCCGAAATTAAAAATTGACAACTGAATTTTTTTATTAGAAATTTACTAAATATTAGTTTTTCTTTTTTTTTTTAATATATATTTTATTTTTAATATTTCGTACTTTAGTAAATTAAAATAAAAAAAAATTTTTATTTAAATTTTCTAAATTTAAGATGCAAATATTCGCCGTTATATATATTTTCAGATAAATTCGACAAGAAAAATATTAAAAATTTTAATAACCGCGAAATAATTACGTGTATAAAACGCAAAATAACGTACTTTAAAAAAAAAAAAAAATTTTTTTTTATGTTTTATAATTATTTTGCTAAAACTTTTTATTGGTTTTAGAAAAAAACCGAAAAACCAATTTTTTTTTTTTTGTTTTTCGGTTATAATTTTTTTATATTTAAATTTAAATTTCGCTTGATTTGATTTTTAAAAAAGTTTTTATTCAATTTTATCTTTAATAAAAAAAATCTAACTATAAAAATTTATTTTATTTTTTAAATTTATTTTTTTATCTTTTTAAACTTATTAAAAATTCGTTTTAGCAAATAGTTATAAAATTATTATATTAATTTTTTGTTTTTTTTTTACTTTTTTAAATTTATTTAAATATTTTTTATATTAAACTTAAAATTTAATTTATTTATTAATGAAAATTAAAAAAAGTAAATTAAATTTAAATTTAAAAAAAAAAAAAAGTATCGCGTGCACTTAGAAAAAAAAAAAAAAATTTAAACCGAATGAAAAGAAAAGAAAAAAAATAAAATAATAATAATAATAATGTAAAAAACACTTAACACATACACTTTTTAATAATCACACTTGAATATATGAAAAAATAGGAAAAACTATCGCGATATATAAAGTATATATATACCTACTCAGTTATTCTTTAAAGACTCCGGCTGTTCGCCTCTAAGATTTGACTGTGAGTGAGGCTTAGAACGTCTGGCGAAGCGTCTATATCCCCCTGGATGAGCCAAAGGATCCCAAAAATATCTCCCTCCAAATAGGGCATTCCACCTTTACAATTCAAAAATTGTTCGACAAACCAAAGAAACGCGTGCGCAATTATTTCTATATTTAAAATTATACTAGTGGGGAAATTTTATTTATTGAAATATTTTTAAATTTTTTAATAATTATCATTAATTATGTACTTTAATAATTAACATAAATTATTAAAATGCATATTTTTTTAAATGGGTAAACCTGAGAAAATATTTTTTCTTATCAAAAACCTGGAATGAACCTTAGAAAAAAATTTCTTATTTATTATTATTATTATTTAATCTATAATTTAACGACTTAAAAAATAATTTAATAAAATGTTAAAAAGTTTATTTAATTCATTTAAATACTCGTCATTTTAAATAAATTTTATTTTAAAATTAATTATTATTATTCTCAAAAAAAAAAAAAAAAAAGTTTTTTTTTTTTTTGAAAATTTCCCAACTATATTTTTAATTGAATATAATTACGAGGACTAAAAAATCATGGGCTGTTCCAAATATGGGCAGTAGTCCTGTGACGACACATTCCCTGAGGAGGCAAGTCCCACTCTTCCTCATTTCATCCTCTCTTACTTTTTTCACAGTGGGAGTGAGTTTCAATAAACTTTTGAATTTTTTTTTTTTTTTTTTTTTTGTTAAAAATGAATCTCCCTTTTAAGTACACCCTTCACGGTTTATTATTATTATTATTATTATTATTATTATTATTATTATTATTATTATTATTATTATTATTATTATTATTATTATTATTATGTCCAATAATCTTGATAACGTTGATATTAACAGATACAATTATACGTAAAGACTTTTGAGATTTACATATAAGGATATTTAAATAAATATTTTTAATAATAAGTTATTAAAATAAATACACAAGAGTAATTATTATTTTAATAAATTTTTTAAATTTATTATTATTATTATTATCATAGATTTTTTTCTCTTATTTATTATAACTAAACTAAATGCATGTTGGAACATTATAATTTATTTATCATAATTTTTACCCTAATTCATAATAATAATAATAATAAATAAATGAAAAGTTTATCGTTAATAATTTAATATTTATTAAAATTTTTCCATTATGAAATTTAATAAATTGAAATTATTAATTAATTAAAAATATAATTTTTATCAAATTTTTATTCCCTGATAAATTTTATTATTATTATTATATTTAAAAATTTGATAGTAATATTTGAATGGCCAAATTTAGTATTGAAAAAAAAAAAATTATTAATTGTGAAAATTACGTTTTTTTAATTTTTGATTTATAATAATAATAATAATAGTAATAAGGATAGTGCGGTGTAAAATTATTCATTAAATAATAATAATAATAATAATAAAATAAAAATGCATTCCTCAAGTTAAAAATAGGAATCAGCCTAATTTGAAACGTCTAACTAAAAAAAGAAGAGCCAACATTTTTTGTTAATACAATCTAGTTAAAATAAAAATTTTTAAATTTTTTTTTAGTTCTTTGTTTCTTTATATTTTCTTTTTAAAAATTAGTTAACGAAAAATAAGATCTGTTAAAGAATATTATATTTATTTATTTGCTTTTTTTTAAAAAATTTTATGTAATAGTATTATTATTATTAGTGATTTTTACTTGAAAATTTTCAAATCGAATTATTTTGAATTGATTTTTTCTGTTTCCCAATTTAAAATTGTTTAAAAAAAATTAAATAAATTCATTTTGAATTTATATAAAATTTATTAATGAATTATTTTATAATATGCAAAAATAAATAGGATTTGTATTTTTTTTTTAAAAAAAAAAAAAGAAAAAATTTTTAAATTTTAAATCGTTTAAAATTTTATAATCAAATTAAATATTGGTTTCTTTTTTTAATTTTTGGCAATTCTTTTTTTTTTCTTTTTTTTTCTTTCCGACACGCGCATTATAAAACTATTTGAGGACACAAAAATAAAAAAAAAAAAAAAACTTCAAGAACGGGAAAAAAAATCTAATTTCGAAATGAAAAAAAAAAAAAAAATGAATAGTTTTTAAAATAGAAACAGTATAACTACATTTAATGCGTAAATTATTTTACATTAGTTTAAACCATGTAACGTCGCATTTTTGTAAAAAAAAATTTCTTATTTAAATATCTCTAAATAATTTACAAAAATGTAGAGTTTCATGATATTATTATTATTATTTGTAAATTTTTTTAAATTATTAATTGCTTGCAAAAAAAAAAAAAGAAAAAATTATTCTCTAATTTTTAATGATTTCTTTCGATCGATAATTAATAATCCTAAACAAATATTAAATTTATTTAAAAAATAAAAAAAATGTATTTTATAAATATGAAAATTATGTAAAAATAATATTTAAGTAAAATTTAATTTTATAATATTATGAATACGTTATAAAAACTAGTTTTTTGTGTTTTATGTCGTTCACTAGATCAAAAAGTAATGGACTTTTTTATCATATACAATGCAGGTAAAAGGAAATTTTCATTTTAAAAAAAATTGTAAAAAAAAAAAAGGTTTGATTGAATGAACGATGCTTTTTTTTTTTTATACAAATTTATATAATAGGTTATCATTGTAAATTGATAAATTATTCCCATCCCCAAATGCCATCACATTCTTTTATTGTATCCCTATTTTCCCTTCTTATTCTAGTTGTAGCAGAGGCTTCACCTTTAGCTACAATTCTTTTTCTAAGTTCTTTTTTTTCACGATTCATTAACGCTTTTTTAACTTTATTTTTAATCACTTCAGGAGCGATAGTACTACAAGTCGAATAGCTTCTTATCGTGGAATTACAAGTCAATATTTCAGAATTACTAGAGATGCAGTCACTGTTTGGAAGTGTTTCGATTTCTACGCGTTCGTTAGAAGGTAATTCAAAATCATTTTCTGTTTCATCACAAGAATAAAATTCTTCACTTGTTTCGCCTGTACAATCATAATTATCGTAACCTGTTGTATCATTATCTTGTTCTTCGTCACTTAAACTGATGGAATCAAAGTCCTTATTCAATAGATCTAACTCCATTTTTTTTGTAAAACCGCTTGCCGAAACTTCTACATCCAAAGTATCTTCCCGTCTAAAACAGAAAAAAAAAAAAAATATTTAAAATGGCCGGTACAGAAAAATAAACATAGGAAAAGACAGTAAAAATCAAATTACTTAATTAATTATCATTTTTTTCATTGTTTTTAATCTACATGTGTTTGCCATTGATTTTACTTACAAGACATCCTTAAAAGAAGGACAAAGATAGCTTTCGTAGTTGAACCTTCGACGAAAAAAATGTTTTATACAATCTACATCTCTATTAAAATAGGTTTCTGCTTCTGGATGAAGTGTAGAAATCATTTGGGGAAAATCAATTATAATAGGTTTTCCCTCATCTGTGATCATAATGTTGAACTCGTTGAAATCTCCATGGATGACACCCAAATTTCCAAATTTGATGATCAAATTCATTAAATCATCATAAAGCTCTTCAACATTTGGAACATCGTGTAACTGGCTTCTGCAAAATAATACCACATAACAGATAAGTAAGTAATTTATTAAAAATTAGACTGTGTTAATTCTAGACACTACATCATAAATTTCATACAAAGGCCTTCCATTGACTAATTCCATAACGACACAATGTCTGTTGAAATCGACAGGACGAGGAACTGGTAAACCTCTTCCATATAGAGCTTGCATGTAAGCATATTCTTTGGTTGCCGAAATTCTAGACAAATATATCCATGAAGCTGTTTTTCTATGTTTATGATAATCTCTTTTTTCTTTAACGTTTCTGAAGCAAGTTCGACCCAACCTAAAAAAAAAAAAAAAAATATTCACAATGCTATGCATATATTTTTTTAATTAATAATCATCAAAAAACTAAATCTTTAATCGCAAGTCATAATAATAGCTAACGATAGTAATATTTTTAATAGTAAGTATATTTATATTTAACGAAACTAAGAAACTTTCAATTTTTCTTTATGCAAAAAGGTGTGTTGAGGTATTTAAAAGTAGTATAATTTAATTTTATTCACTAAAAAATTTATTAATATTTTAAATTTAAATTTTTAGACTTACCTGTGAAGTTTTAAACAAAAACAATTTTTCTCTTCATCTAAAACAACAAATATATTAGATTCCTTTCCAGTACCGATTTGATTTCCAAAATCGTGTATCACATTTCTAGATGTTAAGGTTTTTAATGCTAAATAATCATATCCTGAATTGGTTAATCTATATCCATCATCTAAAAAGTAATTTTTTAGAAACTTTAATTAAGTGTTAAAAAATAAAAATTTCTTTTGTTGAATAATATTTATAAATATATCAGATAATAGAGCTTCATCTCAAAAATAACTCAGTTGGAGGAAAAGAAATTAGTATCATCATATAAAATTAAATTTTTTTTAATTGATATCAAAGTTTAAATTCAAAATTTAAAAAAAAATAAAATAAAAAAATACTTACAATGTTTTCCTCTTTCATAAGTCAAAAGTTTATTTTTACATAGATCCCTTAAGATTTTGTGCACTCCTCCATGTTTTAAATTTGAGATGGCTGCCACTAAAGGTCCCGGAACTAGTTCGTGGTTTTTCATACCCATTTCGACCTAAAATAAAAGTTAAATTTAAATTTTTTTTTTTTAAAATTAAATCACACAATTTAATAACAAAACATACTGCAGTGAGAACCCTCATTTCCTCATGGTTCATGTACCGCAATAATGTAACATTTAATTTTCCCATTTTTAAAATATAGGTGTTAATTATTTACTTAAAATAACTAATAGTCTTTTTAAAAAATTTTTTTAAATTATTAATAATTATTAATTAAAATAATATTAACATAATATATTTTTAAATAAAAATAATTAAAATAATTTTTTAAAATCTCAATGTGACTCTAATGGCAGCCATGACAGCACAAAACGTTTCTAATAATGTTGTCTGCTTACGCCATTGTGTTGCCAACTACTAAAAAATAAAATCTTTAATGCATTAGTGTTGGCTAAACTGCCGTTTCCGGTTTATAGTTTTTAAATATGGCGACGTCAAAGACCTCGAACACATATAACAGACAAAATTGGGAAGATGCGGTGAGTTTTATTAATAATAATTATATTTTTATTATTTTAAATGTATCATTTAAATTTAATAATTGGTATAAAATAAATATTAATTAATTTTAGCAATATAATTTTTCAATATTTGCGTTTAGTTTAGCCATAATAATTTAAGGGTCTTGAGTTCAATTTTTATATCGTATTCTGCGTTAGTGTCGTTTTTTAAATATTTAACATACCAAATTAGGTTTTTATTTTTTTTAATGAACGCAACCTAGTAACATTTCAAAATGAGATGATGCACTATACGAATTTGATAAATTTATAAATCGAAAAAATTAAAAACAGTATTTTTATATAATTTAGGATCTACAGTTTTATTTATTACTGAGTTTTACTTTATAATTATATTTGAAAATATACTAATATACTAATATTTTTATTTGATTTTTGGCTCTAATTTTTAACTTTTAATTTTGTCATAGGAATTCCCAATATTATGTCAGACTTGTCTTGGAGATAACCCATATATTCGAATGGTAAGTTTATTTAAATATTATTATAATTCAAAGTGTTATATGCTGTTTCTTACTTCAAAGGATTAGCATTTAGGTTTTTTTTTAATAAAAGATTTCATTAAATTTTTTTTTGAATCATATCAAATATGTTAGTAATACATTAAAATATATAAAATTGTTTTTTAGACTAAAGAAAAGTATGGGAAAGAATGTAAAATATGCTCCCGTCCATTTACTGTGTTCAGATGGAATCCAGGTGCTAAAATGAGGTTTAAGAAAACTGAAGTTTGTCAAACATGCAGCAGGATGAAAAATGTTTGCCAAACTTGCTTGTTAGATTTGGAATATGGTTTACCGATTCAAGTGAGAGATGCAGCTTTAAAAATCAAGGATGATATTCCTAGGTCTGAAATAAACAAGGAATATTATGTACAAAATATAGATAGAGAGGTAAAAAAAAATTTTCTAAAATTATATCAAATATGTTGTTACATTATTTATCATTACTTTTATTTTTTTTTTTTTCATAGCTAGGGAAAATTGATGCGACCTCTCCAACTGGAGCTGTTGGTAAATCACAAGCTGCGAGTGATTTACTACTTAAATTAGCTCGAACTAGCCCTTATTATAAAAGGAACAGACCACATATTTGTTCATTTTGGGTAAAAGGAGAATGTAAAAGAGGAGAAGAATGTCCATACAGGCATGAAAAACCAACAGATCCAGATGATCCATTGGCTGATCAAAACATAAAAGACAGGTTAATACTTATTACAAACATATACCTTTGTGCACTATTATAATTATATATTATATAATATATAATATATTATAATAATATATAATATATATTATAATAATATAATAATATATAATAATATATTATATATAATTATATTATTATAATATAATATTATAATATAATTATAATATTTTAATATTATAGTAATATAGTATATAATTTATTATATATTTATTTATTTAATAATAATATATATTATATATAATTATATTATAATATTATAATTATATATAATATATTATATTATAATTATAAAAAAATTTTAAATTTTAAATAGTAGTGGAGTGAAATAAAATTAATGTTGTAATAATTAATATTTGAAATTTATCTTGTATTAGATATTACGGAGTTAATGATCCAGTAGCTGAAAAGTTAATGCGTCGAGCGGAAACAATGCCCAAGTTAGAACTTCCTGAAGACAAATCTGTGACTACTCTTTACGTTGGTAACGTGAGCGACCGTATAACGGAAAAAGAATTACAAGATCACTTCTATCAATATGGAGAAATTCGCTCTATTACGGTTTTAGCCAAACAACAATGTGCTTTTATACAGTTCACAACCAGAGCAGCAGCTGAATCTGCAGCAGAAAGAACCTTTAACAAATTAATATTATGCGGTAGACGAATGACAATTAGATGGGGAAGATCGCAAGGACGGCAAAAAACTTCTTTAGAAGAAGGAGAAATAGATTTAGAGCCTGTACCCGGATTACCGGGAGCTCTTCCACTTCCGCCAGACGAAGTTACTGGTAGTTTTTCTAGCCCTTCTCAAAATATTCCTTTTCCTCCTGGTATGCCTCCCTCATTTATTTTACCCCCACCTATGGCTAGGCCCCCTCCTGGTATTAGACCTCCGGCTCCTCCTTTGTTTTTTTTCCCTTCTCATTTAAGACCGCCTCTTGTTCCCCCTCCGGGAGTTCAACCTGCTCATTTTCCTCAACGACCTCCTCCAACATATTCTTCAGCAACGGCAACGGTTCCTATAATGTCTCGAGCACCTGCAGATCCTGGTGCTCCGGGAACTGTACCTGCTGCGACAATTCATTACCCATCACAAGATCCTGCTCGTTTGGGAACAACAAAGAAAGCTTGGTCTAATGAAGAATGAGTTATTATCTTTTTTATTTTATTAATGCGTAAAAAAATGCTTCTTTATTCAATAAAACTTTAATACTAATTTTAATGTATTGTGTTGACTTAAAAACTGTGCGAAATTTCCAAGAAATTACAAATAACTTTACAAACATGTTTTAAGGTACGTTAATCGGATTAAATTATAGTAGTATTTTTTTTTTCTTACGCATTACCAATAGATTATTTATTTTTCAGGGTAATCTTGAATGTGTTACATGTCAAACTCATTTTATGAAATGTTCTACCCCTGTAATCCTAATTTATAATTCCTGGGACAATAAAAGAAGGGATCCTAATCTGATTGAAACCATATATTTTGTAATTTGTAGAATCATCACTGTATTCTTTAATTAAGTAAGTTAAGGCTGTCAATGTTATTAATTAGATTTTTACATTTTATTTTAAAATCATCTTTAAATGTTAACAGTTTAGAATAAACTTTAATAATCAAAAAAATAAAATCACTTGTTCTCCCCCCCCCCCACGAATATTCGAGGCAAAACACAATTTTTAGAATTTATAGAGCCTCCCTGAGTCTTCTTTTAAGAATAAGAGGTGAAAATAATTTTTAAAAAAATTATTTTTATTTTATTTTATTTTTTCACATATATAAAAAATTAAACAAATTATTTTAAATAAAGTTATATTCTTGTCCAATAAAAATGAAATCAAAAATGGAAAGAATGGTATAAAAAAAAAAAAAAAAACAAAGGAAAGGACATTACTATTCGCTACTCGATGAATTTTCCGTGCTGTAATGCTTCTTTTTAAACCTTTTACTTTGTCTTTTCTTTTTTAATTTCAATTTATTTCTTTTACGTTTTTTAATTTTAATTTTTTCTGAATCACTAGTTGAATAACTTTCTTTTCTTTTTCTAATTTTACTTCTACTATTAATTACTTCATAGGAACTAGAACTTTCAGTACTGTTTCGATTTTTTTTTTTCCTTCTCTTTATTTTTCTCTCTTCATCAGACGATTGTACAATTTTTTTCTTTCTTTTTTTTCTTTCTAGTTCTTCTGAACTGGAATCGCTACTTATAGAATATTTTCGACTTCTTTTTTTTTTATTTTTTTTAAGCGAATAATTACTTTCGCTCCCACTTTCCGATTCATTATTACGACTTCTGTACTTCCCTGAAAATTTCCTATACTTCTTGTGAGACCTGCTTCGAGGAGTTTTAACTACAACAAGAACTTTTCGTCTGCTTTTGTGTTTTTTTTTTTTCTTTACAGCAGAAGAATTGCTAGAAACAGATGAAGAATCAGAAGACGAACTTAAACTATTACTAGATGAAAAACTTGTACTACATTTTTTTTGCCTCCCATCATTTTTTTTCCCATATTTTTTTTCTTTAATTTTAACTTTTCGATAACTTAAATTCTTGTCATTATCTAATCTAAAATTTCGTCCATTATGAGTAAAATTTTTGGTTTTGTCTCGTCTCTGATCGAGTACTTTATTTCTTTTTCTGATATCTGACGTATTATGTTTATATTTTTCGTTGTTTTTGTTTCCCCATCCTCCGGGTGGAGGAGGTCCCAAATGTTCTACTCCTTTTCCTTTTCCCTTCCACCTTAATTTGGCTACCTGTACAGATACATGGAAAAAAATTTTATTAATTTAATTTACTTTATTTTTTTTCATTGTTTATTTTTCTTAAAACTCAACTCACAGATTGGCTAAAATCTACATGAATTCTTCTATCATCTATCAAAACATTGTCCATTTTAAAATAAGCTTCTTCACAAGCTTTTCTATTTTCAAATTCTATAAATGCATATTGTAAAGAATCCCCAGTGATTTGATCTCTAATTACTTCACAGCTTTTTACAGTTCCAAAACGCGAAAATATTAATGACAAATCATGATCAGAAGTGACTGGATTTAGTTTACAAACAAAAAGTACATTTTCTGGTGGAGCTATATCTGCATCAGGTATATCCCCAACCATTTCAAGAATAGCAGCTCTAGCAGCAGCTTCTCTTTGTTGAACCTAAAATTTAAAAGATAAAGGTCAATTAGAATGTTATATAAATATCTAAATATTAATTTTTATTTTTTTACCATTTCATCTAGTTCTTCCTGACTATACTTTTCTGTCAAAGGTTCATCAGCTGGAATACGAGAATAAGCAATATCTTTTGGATTTGGAGGTTTTGGAGACAAAATTGGAACTTGTAATCCTTCTGGATCTGGAAATGGATCATCTAAAATCACTGTGTGAGTTATTCTACAAAAAAAAAAAAATTTATATTTAATAATCCCCCAAAAAAATTTGTACTTTTATTTACTACAGGTCTCTTATTTGCATATCTTAATAAACTGATATTTAAAATAACCTGATATCTTGATAAGGTCTGTATTGATCATCAGTTATTGCTTCATTTAATTTTAATAATAAATCAACTCCTTCAACAATGTGTCCAAACACACAGTGCTCTTGATCCAAAGAAGTTAAATTCCCTGTTAGTGTAATAAGAAATTGAGAACCAAGCATTCCATCTCCATGAGATACCATCGATAAAAGTCCTGTTCTATCATGTTTTATTTTTGGTAATTTTTCTCCTAAATACAATCTATGTTGTTTTCCTTTAATTAAACTAATCATAAGTTTTAATAAAAGCATGATGGGGAAAAAAAAAAACCTAAAAATTATTTACATTAAATTCTTACCCAAATATGGATTCTCCTCCATCTCCTTTACCTGTAGGATCTCCTGTTTGGGCTAAAAAGTTTGAACTGACTGAGTGAAACAGGCAAAGATTATAATATTTTATTTTACATAATTTCAAAAAATTCAGGCAAGCTGTAATGTAAAATATTTATAAATTAAATTCAACTCTTTCTTAATTTATTAAATGTTATTACAGAATTAAAAGCAATATTTTTTTTGCGACTACTTACTTTGAGGTCTTTCTTCTGTAAAAAGATCTACAGTTACATCTCCTAAAGTTGTTTCAATTACAACAGACATGTTTCACTTTTTGAAATTCAAATACTAATGTTTACATGTAAGAAAAATTTAAAATTTTTATTTATTTTTTTTACATTTAATGTAAATAAATTAAGTGATAAACTTAATTTTACAATATTTTACATACCTAAATGTCATTAAAATGAATGTAACTGCCACCGAAGCAAACTTACAGGTAGGTTAACATAACGCCGGTTTCGCGTATATTTAGGTCAGTGATAAAAAAAAAATACATCAGTTAAAAAATTACTACTCGTAAGAATTACTAAATTGTAACATTAATCGTTATTTTACAAATTACAGTTTTTATTTTTTCAAATTATATTTTATTTTATAATTTTTTTCTATGGTAAATACTTGAATAAAAATACAAACTATTTTTAAAACAGCTGCTAAATTTTTTAATGGTTAAAAAAAATGCAGATTTTATCTATATTATTAAAAAAATATTTTTATTTATTTTAGTTTCACTAAATTTTAAACAAATATTCACATTGATTTCATTTTATTTAAATTAAAAACATTAGTAGAAAGACGTGAGTACAAACAGTGATTACGCCAGATATTTTAGACTTTATTAAAATGACGTAAAAAGGAGAAATGTTTATGTTGGTAAAAGTGTATAAAAATATTGTTAATAAAATTTTCATTTAAAAAAAAAAAAAAAATGTGAAATCGGGTCATTTATTAAAATGTTCAAGTGTTGAAAAAAAACCAGGAAAAACTAATTGTTTTTAAAATTTAATTTTTTTTTCCTAAAAACTATGAAAGTAATATGTTATGACGACTTTTATTATGTTTTCTTATCACCTTTATTATTTTTATTAAAGTTCTGCGTAACTGTTAAAACTTTGTGGTAAAGTATTTAATATATATAAAATTTATTTGCTTAAACAAATTTTAGTCTTTATAATATATAATTAAAAATAATTATTTATTTTTTTATATGAAATTTTTTAAATAGTACATTTGCTATTTTTATTCCAACATGGTAAATTTGTCAAGGAACCAAATGCAGTAAATAGTTGTACAATTGCATAATGATCAAAATACCACATAAATACACAAAATTATTAAAACATATTTTAATAAACTTAATTTTAGTATTCTTTAGAAATATTTTGCCTTTTTTAATTTCATTAACCAAAATAAAATTCTTAAAATGTTTATTATTATGTTCATATAGTTTGTATTGTTTACATTACATTATTTGTTGAAGTTTTTTTTAAGCAGAAATTAATTGAAATTAAAATTTAATTCTAATCTTTTAATTAAAACTTATTAAATTTTATTATTTACATAAATTTTTTATCTTTTGTAGATGGATAAAATTTATAAAATACATATATATGTATATATAATTTAAAATAACTCAAAGTTTTAATTTAGGGTTCAGAACATAAAAAAAATCTACAAAATAAATTATAAATGGTGATAATAATAAAAAATCATAAAATTTCAGAATGCATGTAAATAATGGCAGATATTGGAAATTATTACCCATGCTCTAATATATCTATTATTCAACTGTTTCATGAACTAAAACAAAAATATCCTACAGTACCTGACCAAATTGTTTCTAAAATTATTCAAAAGGTAATAAAAAAATTTTTTTATTTCGATTTTTGTAAACCTGATTTTATTTTTTTATTAATTTTAATTACGTTCTTAAACATATATATATATATATTTGCTTAATTTTACTTTTTATAATAAATTAAAATATAAAATTTGCAATCAAAATTAATTTTTATCACAAAATATTTAAAAGTTTATTAAGTTGTTTTCAAAAAGAAATTGCTATTTTTTTATGCATGGCAAGAAAAAAAGTAATATATAAATAACAATAAATGTCTACTTATAAATTTTTACATTTCTTAAAGTTAAGCATAGATATATATATATATATATTTTGTCAAAAAAATAAGAATTTTTGTTTTAAATTGCTTATTTATATTTGCTTTTTTTGTCAATGCAAAGTTTTTAATTTGTAGTTATGTGATATAAAATTTCTTTGTGTTGGTTTTTTTTATTTTAATTAATGAATTTTCTAAATTTTTTTATTTCAGAATTGTCACGACAAAAGTACATGTGAAGCTATTCTTGAAAAAGAAAATCATGCTCATCTCTCAAGTTACCCAAAAGCTTTAATTTCAAAAAATTGTAACAATTGCACTGATAAAAGATTTCATAGTCATCCTTTGGATGCCTCTCCTAGACAATCGAGTTGTGACTCTTATGAATTAGCTATAATTAATAATAATAATTCAAGCAAAAAAATTCTAAACACGGAGAAAAATTCTCTTTTATTTTCTGATAAAAAAAATGTCATTGATCGTAGAAAGAGCTTAGATGATTTGATTTTTTTAAAAGAATGTCCTGGAAGAAATAAGAAGCTTAATTTATTTTTAAAACCAGAAGAAAATAATTTACATATAAAAAGAGATGAAAAAGACTGTGTAACTGATGGTATATCAGGATTTAAAGGTTCATTTATGAGCCAAGAAGAAGACAATAACGATTGTTCTAGGCAAAAGTTAAATCTGGAATTTACTATGTCTAAAAATAACTTTTTAAAATGTGATAATGATAAAAAGAAAAATTTTTCTGTAAGATCTCTTACATGCAATGCAGAAAATAATGGTGAATTCAGTAAATCAAAAACTATCGAATGGAAACAAGATACAGTTAATAAAAATATACAATGTAAAAGTCAAAAATGTAATTGCTGCAATACTGAGAATGAAAAAACGGCATCAAATTATCAGGTAAAATAAAATAAAAAATATATTTTCTGTGAAAAGTAAATAGTTACACATGATCAGTTCAGATAATTTATTGTTTTTTTTTTTTTTTCTTCGTTTTTACAGGTGGAAGTGCAATATTCCATGCATCCGAGCACACAGAGCGAAAAAGGACGTAAACAAAAATCTTCCACGACAGTGAATTTAAGTTTGCGACCTCCTTCGTCTCATACTCATGATTCGAACGAAATGAAATTAGAAAAAAATTTTACTTACACAACTTCATCATTTGATGAGAAAAAAGGGATTCAATCGGAGTTTAAAATAATAATTGCTCCCGGTAAGATTTTAAAGTAATTCGGCTTAATTCAACTTTTATTGATTTTTACGAAACGGAATTCTCGTTAGAAATTCGGTTTGGCTGGCTTTTTTCCTTTTACGTTAATTGATTGGTTTTAAATATGGAAGAACGATCGTTTATCAGGTGGAACCGACAGAATAACTGAATTTAGAGATTCCATGTCATTTCCTCAAATGAGATATCTCTGCAGGTCATCAAATTGCACATCCCAAATTACTTGTAATTTTTTTTGCCGCTGTAGTCTTCGTCTTAAAGGTATTCGTCACAAAAAAAAAAAAAAAAAATAATTGACAGTTAAAATACTGGTAATTACTGTTTTGATTTGCAACATACGTTTGTGATTTCAATAAGTAAACAAGACGAATAGTTATCTTAACTTATTCATAATACATATATCCTTTTCGTTACGTTCAATACACTTAACGTTTTGAGTTTTTTTTTTTTTGGTTTTTTAAATTAACTGTACTTATTTAATTAGTTTTTTTTTACTGCACGAACTTAATTGTAATTATTGTTTTTTTATTAACGTATGAAAAAAACATGACAACACCCATGATTATTTTTTAGCTTAAATTTTACTAAAATTTATCTTTCGTTTAATTAATATATATATTCACATTTTTTATAATTTGATGATAATTTTAGCTTTATTGGAAAAACAACGACAGCAAAAATACTTATTGGCAGAAGAACTTCGAAAAGAGCAGGAAAAACTTTTTTCCATCAAAAACGAAATCAAATTGATGAAAACATTTATTACTCAAAAGAATAATCTTCCTGTTTTTTTAAAGGTATGATTTTAAGGTATTATTTATAATGTGAACAAAAATTTATTGTTATTTATAATATTTGATATTCACACAAAATTGTTTTATTTCGATAACATTTAGTTTACTTTAGTCTTGCTTTTTTTCGATTCACTAATTCTGAATTATTAATTTTGCAATTATATTAATAACTATTTTTTAATTTAAATTTACAGTTGAAACAGGATGTTGATAAATTAAGAATTGAATGCAAAAAATTAGCTTATGCAGTGGATCTCTATTCCGACACACAAAATTTTTTACCTTTAGGAGAAACAAATGAAGAATTTTATAACAACATTTATACTGGGCAGGTTTTACAAAGTAATTATAATAATTTTTTGATTTTTCTTTAAAAAGGCATAATGATGGCATCTTATATAATCATGTTTATTTCATCCAAGGGGAAGAATACTGGAACTGCCAATTGTGTACATTCCGTAATCATCCTCTTTTAAATGTGTGTGAAGAATGTGAAATGCCACGAATCATATTGGGTATTCAAAAGGATGTCGAGTCTAACTTGCCTGTTTGTGATAGCTCATCTTATTCCACTGTAATATTATTATTATTTTATTCTACTTAGTTAAAATATACAAATTAGATTATTTGCTAAATAGAATTTTTTATTTTCAGGAAAGAGAAACATCTCCATCTGTTTCATTTGTTACAGCACCTCTTCAAGTAAGTTTTTCTTTTTTTTTCTTTTTTTTTTTTAATGGTAAAAAAATGCATTAATTAGTTTGATTTCTGCTTGATTTTAATTTTCATGCAGTACTTGGATTTTAAAATATAAGGTACAATAAATTTAGAAATTGGTTTTTATTTTATAAATATTCACACTTTTTTAAAAAATCTTACATTTATTTTCGACAGTACATAAAAAAAATACTTAATATTTTTAGGATCATTAAACAGCAGTGGAAAATAAAAGAAGGTCAAGTGAAGAAAAAAACGAGAGAATTATTTTATTTTAGGTCTTCGAATAAAACAATAATAACCATATTATTCATATAAGGATAATTTTTTTAAAGTCTTAAAAAATGAATCGAATCTTAAAAATCAAAGGTTTGAATTTATTGTTTCAGTCTTCGTTGAACATTAAAATATAAATAAAATGAAATTCGTTAGATAATTTCCCTTAGAATTTTTAAAATTATAATTAAATTTATTTAAATTAAACATTTTATAAAAAAAAAAGAAAAAGTGAAAATATTTTTTTATTGTTTTTAACTTTTACTCAGTGATTCAAAAGGGATTTATTATATATTTTGTAAATAAACATTAAATTATGTTACAGATTTAAAAAAAAAAAAAATTCTATATATGTATAAATCATATAATTTAGCATAAATTTTTCTGGTTTTTTTTCCCGAATAAACTATAATAAAAAGTAAAAACATCTTTTATAGACTGTTATGTAAAAAATTTTAATATTAAAATTTTATGAGAATATATTTATATTAAATATATAATTTATGTAATTTAAATAAAAACTGTTCTAACAAGGGTATGAAATTTAGTTATGTATCTTTTTCATATGCTTATTTACACTGCTGTTCCTCTTTCAAGATTTTGTTTTATTTCAGTTGTATGTTCACCATAAAACCTTTCAAGTTTTTTGTTAAATTTCATATTTCTTTCATTAATATAGTCAATATCTGCATCATCATTGTGCATCCTTCTTCTACTATACTTATCACGTTTGGCTATCCTGTAAATTAGAAAAATAAAAAATTGTAAGTAATTATACAGTACTCTTATTCATAGTTATGTAAAGTTAGTCACTTACTGCTTCTCGAGATCTTCTGCCATATAATTTATAGCACTTTCAGAATCTTTTGTAATTCCTAGCAAAATTGGATTTGGACCACTATACATTGCTGCTCCAAGTTTTTCTTTTTGTTCATTATATGCTTCTAAATCCACTTTGTGATTCTTTATAAGTCTGTTGTACTTTCTGTAAATAAAATTTTGATGTGGAACAATTAAATAAATATGTAATTTTTTTTTTACTTTAGGGGTGAAGATCAATATTATAAATATACTTATGTGTGGATGTAAAAAAATCCAATTGCAATATTAAAAAATACCTTATGGCAGCCTGTTCGAAGTCAGAAAATCCTTCATCTGGATTTTTTTTCTTTTTTTTTTTTTCTATTTTTTCGCAAATATTTGCTGGAATGCTTAAAAGTCTTTTTCTTTCATAATCTTCTCCCTTTTTTTGGGCTTCTTCTTTAGCTGCTTCATTTTCTAATAGCCATTGAGCTCTCTCTTTTCTTGCTTCCCAATTGCTTGGTAATTTATTTCTTTTATCTTCTTGTATAACCTCCAAATGATTTAATTGTCTGGCTTCATTCTGCGCACAAGTAAAATTATAAGTATGTAAATTAATTACGTAAAATTAAAAATTTATAAAATTCTAACCCTTTGAATGTGAAGATTTTTTAATCGCTTGAGTCGTTCGTGATGTTTACTTGAAACATTTTTCAAATGTGAATCATTAGACTCCGACATTTTAATATGTTGAAATACTGATTAACAATTGTAAACTTACAGTTAAGTTATACCAACCTTGAAGCTAAAAATAATATCCCGCCGGATACAGTATCGCCATTATTTCAAAAAACGACTCTGGACGATGCTGATGTGTACAAAGTCTATGAATTTTAATTTACTTTTTTTTTAACAAAATACTTTAATTATAAAAATGTGAGTCATATTTTTCAAATCAATGAATTAATTTTTTATTTTATACTATTTATCTTTGACATTTAACACCGTATAATAAGGTCACTCACCTTAATAAACAATACCTTAAGAAGTACCTTTAAGAAGGAACTTGTTGAATACAATTTTTTTATAGGTTAACTTTAAAAAATTTGTCAGTAGGGAAAATTTAATTTTTTTAACTATTTAAATAACATTATATGTACTATAAGGTTGATATTCTTTAATAAAAATTAATTTGAATGAAAATCCATTGGTAAATAATTAATACTAAATTGTTAAATATATTTTTTAAAAGGTTGGGAAATCCACATAGGCAATAATCATAAATTTACATTTAGTGGAGGGGTAATAAAAACTTGCAGTCTTAACAACTAACAACTTTTTTTTTTTTTTTTTCTCTTTTTAGGGTTTTCAATATATTTTGCTCAATTCAAAAGAATGCAAATAAGAACATATCACTTTGTGATTTTTATCAATTTTCAAAATGTTGATCATTTTTATTTGATTTCATAACTATTAAGATTTGGTGAGTACATCCAATATTTATGACTTTTCTAATTCACATGATTAACATTTTATTATAACTATTAGTATTTTAGTTAAAATGAAGGATTACTATAGTTATAATTTTATTATAATTATAGTTTAAATTTTTAAATCAAATTTTTATTAATTTTTATAATTTTAATCATTTTAAACTTTTGTTATTTAAAAATATATTTCATGACTTGGATACAATGCAAAGTGTTTTTTTTTTAAAATTAAATTTCTTATTAGTTAATACAAGAACTAAATATGGTAAATTATTATTTAATTTTTAGTCAAATTTTAAATAAACTAAATAATTTACAATCTAGTTAGTTAATGTAATTATTTTTTCTCAAAATTTAAGTGATTATAAGTGATTTAACTAATTTTAGGATTACATAATAAGTTATTATATTTTTTATTTCAATTTCTATTTCTTTTAAAAGTTATTAATTGTTTAATTTTATTTTTTTTTTAAATTAACTTTTTAATATTTCATGTTAAATAATTTCAGACTAACAATTTACTCTAAAACTCAGTATGTTAATGTGCAAACTAAATTTAAAAAAAAAAAAAAAAAAAAAACACACAAATTTATGAACTATGATAAAAATTATTTATTATTTCATATAGCTTTTTTAACATTTTTTATATTATTTCGATTATTTAAAAAAAAAAAAAAAAAAAATGATAAGGAAAATTTTAATGAAAAAATGTTATCTTCTTTATATGTTCATAATTGTCAAATATTCTTTGACTTTTAGTCATCCAAAAAAAGAAAATAAAAAATCTTGTTTTTAAAATGACCAGTGAAATTACATCAGATTGAGTAACAGAACTAGTTTTTTCCTAAATGTTAAGGTCATTTCTTCATAATTAATTTAATGTTGTGACTTATTGTTATTGCTTTTAAAAAAATTAATTTATCGGAATCCTTTTTTTTTTTTTTTTTTTTTTTTTCCAAATAACACCTAACATTTTTATTATAAATCTATAGGAAATAACAAAAAGAAATAATATTGTTATTGTTTTTTTATTTTTTATCATAAATTTTTTCTTTATGAATATTTAATTTAACTATTTAAAATCATTTATTAATCGCTTGTTATGTGACAATATTTTTTTTTAAATATTTAAAATTTTTAGGTAAAAAATATTAAAACAAGCATTACTACTTTTTACTACTGCCTAGTACTTTCTCTAGTTGTTTGTAGAAATTTTTTTAACAAAGATGAATTTATAATTTTTTTTTTTTTTCCCCAAAATTTTTTAAGGACAAGACAAATTTATCGTTGAATAAAGAATAATATTAAATTTAACGAAAGAGCATTTTTTTATGCTCATCAAATTTGAAAAACTTGTTTTAGATAAAAACAAGATTCATTTTGTATGAGACCACATAATGATTATGAAATTGACCATAAATTTTAACATTTTACTACATTTAATTCGAATAGGTGACATTTTACATTCAAAAATAAAAACCAGTTTTAAAATGGCGCAATATATTTTTATTATGGACTGGATATATTTTTCTTTGGAGATGACATGTCATCTGCCAATATTTTTTTTTTTTTTTTTTATTATTTAGTTTGCATGCAATAATCTTATATTAGAAGTAGTTTTCATAAATTGAATATGTTTTTGATTATTTATAATTTTCGTCTGGCTCATTAAATAAAATAATTCAACAATAGTTTTAAAAAATAATTTATTTTTCAAAATGATGGTTTTTTTAAGCATATTATTTAACTTATTATTTTTATATGTTACCCTTAAACTTGAATAATTTATGTATTTATTTTTATTTATTTATGAAAGTTTAATATCGCTCGCCTTCGTTAATGAAGAATAATAATGTTCCGATCAAAAGTTCGCATACATACATGCAAAATCATCCTTTTGACGTCACTAGTCTGGTTTCTTGTAGACGTCATGGTTATCACATTTTTTTCGGATTGTGTCGGAAACACAGGCTGGAACTGCGTATCTGACAAAAATGAAAATAGTGCAGCTTTGCAGGGTAAGTGCCTATGCTCATTAAACTTTATAATTCTTTTTTATGAAAAATTTTATTAAAAAATACAACAAATTTTTTTGTATTTTACAGAAGTTAATGTTAGAAAACGAGGAGTATTATATGAAAAACTAATTGATAGGGGTAAATCAAAAAAAACATATTTAGAAAGTGAATTAAAAAAATGGATACCCGCTAGAATCGTGCCAAAAAATACACAAGGGTTTGGCGAAATGGGTCAACCTGTGCGAACTGATCCCGAAGAGGAAAACATTATGAAAGAAATGTTTAAAATAAATCAATTTAATTTGTTGGCCAGTGAAAGAATATCTCTTAATAGATCTCTTCCTGATGTTAGAGCTAAAGGGTAAAATAAATATTGGATTATTAATTTTAATTTGAATTCATCAACGATTTAGGCATATATATATTATTTTTAAAAAATATTAATTTAAATATTTATGTTTTCGTTTCAGTTGTAAAACAAAAAAATATTTTGAACTACTTCCAACCACTAGTGTAGTTATAGTTTTTCATAATGAGGCTTGGTCCACTTTACTCCGGACCGTTTGGAGTGTTATTAATCGTTCTCCTAAACCTCTTATAAAAGAAATTATTTTGGTTGACGATGCAAGCGTACAACGTAAGAAAAAAATACCGTAAAATTACCAATATTTATCTCAAGTTTTTTAATAATGAAAATTTTGTTTTTTTTTTTTTTTTTTCTTTCTTCCAGCTCATCTTGGTAAAAAGTTAGAAAATTATGTTAAGACACTTCCAGTACCTGTAACTGTACTTAGAACGCCCAAAAGGTCTGGCTTAATTCGAGCTCGACTACTTGGAGCAAAACATGTCAAAGGACAAGTAATTACATTCCTAGACGCACATTGTGAATGCACCGAAGGGTGGCTTGAGCCATTGCTAGCAAGAATCACCGAAGACAGGTAAGTCTTATCATACCTCATAACATTATTTTAATTAAATTGTATTTCATGAATTTGTTATTACCTATTTAATTATTATTATCTCTTTAAAAAAAAAAAACAAGATATATTTTTAGACATAAATGACCATAGATCCAATTTTAAAAAGTTATCAACTTATTTATTTATTTATTTTTTTAAATATTTTAGGAAAACTGTTGTATGTCCAATTATAGATGTTATATCAGATGAAACTTTCGAGTACATAACTGCCTCTGATACAACATGGGGTGGTTTTAATTGGCGTTTAAATTTTAGATGGTAACGTCCTATTTTTTTTTTTTAAATTCTCTGTAATTTGTGTATAAGTATTGCTTCGTGAGTAAATTTTTTTTTGTTTTGTTTTTTAGGTATAGAGTTCCCAAAAGGGAAATGGATAGGCGAAACAACGATAAAACTGTGCCCATAAGAACGCCAACAATGGCGGGTGGTCTCTTTTCTATAGACAAAGAATATTTTTACGAATTGGGGGCATATGATGAAGGCATGGATATTTGGGGTGGTGAAAATTTAGAAATGTCGTTTCGGGTTAGTAGTTAATATTTTTATCAAGAAAAATATTACATTTTATTTTATGATTATGTGTATAGCGCGTTGATATTACAATTTTATTTAATTAATATTTTGAATCCAATTTTTTCTAGCATTTATTTTGTTCAATGACTAAGTTTATCTAATTCTAGTTCCGATAGTTTTTGTCTTTTTAGAATTAATTTTCCAGGATTTAATTTTTATTTTTTTTTTTATTATTTATAAAAATTACAAAAAATTTAGTGCATTAATGAAAGTGTTGTCGCAGGTATGGCAATGCGGTGGAACTTTGGAAATAGTTCCTTGCTCACACGTAGGTCACGTTTTTCGTGATAAATCTCCATATACATTTCCCGGAGGTGTTTCTCAAATTGTTCTTCACAATGCCAATCGTGTTGCGGAGGTTTGGATGGACGAATGGCGCGATTTCTATTATGCCATGAATCCAGGTTGGTTTCATTTTATTTGCAAAATAATTTTTTTTTATTTCAGATGATGACATGATTGATTGATTGATTGCTTTTATCTTTTACCTTCCGATTACTATAATATTTTCTCATTAATTTTTCCATAAAGTATTTTTTTTTTTTTAAGTTCTAAAACAGGTCGATTTTCTACAAAAGTTAATTAATTAAGTTTTTAAGTTTAAATTAGTATTTTTCTTAAGGGTTTAAAAGGTTTATACATTCATTTTGTGTGTGTAATTTTTTTTTTATTCTTCTCTCTATTATTAGAAACTTATATTTTGTTGTTTACATTTAAGGTTAATTTTACATTTCGAAGAATAATTTACATACGAGAATTTTAATTATCTTTTTATTACCTGAATAATATTGGTAATAATAATAATAATAATAATAATAATAGTCTTATTAGGACTTTCTTTCGCGGATTGATTAGGATGTATTTGTAGGTGTGGATGTGCGGAGGGATTTTGGAAATAATTCCTTGTTCGCGAGTCGGCCACGTGTTTCGGAAAGTAACACCGTATAGTAACCTTTCCGGGTGGGGTGGCCAGAGTCGTGTACACGTCGTGTATCACGAATAACGCTCGCTTAGCTCACGTTTGGCTTGACGAGTGGAAAATATTTTACTACAGTTTTAACCCAGGTTAGACAAAACGTGTCCTGTGTCCTTAAAAAAAAAAAAAAAAAAATTTTTTTCATCCTATTTTTTTTGTTTAAAGTTTTTTTTTTTTTTTTTTTTTAATTTCTTTCAACTGCATGATTTTATGAAAACACTATGACGATGGCAATATGGAGCAGTTTATTCTATCGTTGAGAATTTTTCTTTCTTTTTTTTTTAAAATAAAATATTAATATCGGTTGATTTGCATTGAAATGAATAAATAAAAATATAAATAATTTTGTATAATAATGAACTTCCTACCCCCAAGTGATAGACAGTGCTGATATACTTAATTTTTTTTTTTTTTTTTTTACAACGGTTTAACTTGATGGTAGAAAATATTTTTGTTTTAATTATGTTGTTGTTAGAGCATTATTAATTTAAAAAGATTTAATTTTAAATGAAAGTTAACATTAAATTGGTATGTTACTTAACAACAATCATTCTTCCTTCGTCATAGTGTGCGTGTGTGTGTAAGGTTTATCTGCATTTAAATACATTTTTCTAGGTACATTTTTAGACGCATTCACACATTTAGAGGGATGTTTACAATTAATTATGTTAAAAAAAAAAAAAATTATCAAGTTTTTAAGCATGCCTTTCAAAGAGTTTTTCCATTGTAGTAAGTTTACACACATTCATTCCTTGAAGTGCCATCATTTTAGGTAGGAGGAAATTCACATGAAACGTCATTATAACATAATTATTATTATTTTTTTTTTTTTTTTCGAGAGAGAGAGAGAGATAAGAGGGTGGCTGATAACGGTTTTTTTAAAAAAAAAATAAATAAATAAATAATTTAAATTCATCGTTTTTGTGTGGTACGTTATAAATAAATAAATTTTAAATTTGTTTAACATTAAGTGCATTAAATGAAATAATAATAATAATAATAATAATATATTTACAGTTTTATTTATAATTGCTTTTTGATAATAATAATAATAATAATATTATTATTGAATTTAAAATAATTCAAATTTTTTTTTTTTTTTACTTTTTTATATATTCATATATTCTTCATTGGATGCATAATATTTTTTATTTATTTAATTACAGGTGCTAAAAAAATAGAAGTTGGTGACATAACGAGTCGATTGAAACTCAGAGAAGACCTCAAATGTAAAAGTTTTAGATGGTATTTAACAAACATTTATCCGGAATCGACGATGCCTCTGGATTATTACTTTCTAGGAGATGTAAGTAATAAATATTTTATAATAATTACAGCAATAGAGGAGAGGAAGAGGAGGGGGAGGGATGGAATAATTAAAGTCATTAATTTTTTTTTTTTTTTTTTTAGATAAAAAACGTCGAAACGGAACAGTGCCTTGATACGATGGGCCGAAAAAGTGGGGAAAATGTTGGAATGAGTTATTGTCACGGATACGGTGGAAATCAAGTTTTTTCATATACAAAAAGACATCAGATAACAGCAGACGACAATTGTTTAGATGCAGCCAGCGTTAGAGGTCCGGTTAAATTAGTCAGGTGTCACGGTATGGGTGGAAATCAAGAATGGAAATATTACAATGATGTAAGACAAAATAAATTTTATTTAAATTTTAAATCAAACAGAAAAAAAAATTAACCAATTACCCAATCGCAAGAAAAAAAAGGGGGATTTATATATTATTTAAAATTTATATTTTTTTTTTTGTGTCAGACTTTCGAATTAAAACACGTTCACACGGGACAATGTTTAGATAAACCGTCCGACAGAGATTCGACACCCCAATTGAGATCTTGTGATGGTTCTCGAGGTCAACAATGGATCATGTCAAGTCAGTTTAAATGGCAAACAAGAGAAAATCAAACTGACTAAATTCCTCGTTGTTATTTTTTTTTTTTTTTTTTAATTATTGATTAATTTTTAATTCAAAGAAAAAAAAAATTAAGACTTTGTGACGTTAAAAAAAAAAAAAAAAAAAAAAAAAAATTCATTTTTATATATTTTTTTTTTTTTTTTTTTTTGTTGTTGGGGCAATAGGATTTTAATTAATAATTTTCAAAAAAAAAAAAAATTAACGTCGAAAATTAAATTAAATATTGGTTTATGGTTTCTTTCTTTCTTTCTTTCTTATTATTATATAAAAACCCCAAAGAGAGATTCTTATTATTATAAAAAAAATTTAAAAAAAAAAAAAAAAATGAATTGACAAAAAAACAAGACAAAAATGTCATTCTTAGCCTGTATTTTTTTTTTTTTTAAGAATGATATTTTATAATATTTAACTTAAAGTATTATTTTCCAAATCTAATCTTATTATTACTAATTAAGTGATAAAACTGGATATAAAATGAAGTATATTTTATTTTAATATTAAAAAATTTCTTTTCATTACCAGTGATTTGTTTAAATACGTAATATAAATTATATAATTTTTTTTTTCTTTTTATTTATTCATCAAATTTCACATTAATAATTTACTTAAATTTTAAAAAAAATTGAACTGAATTTTAATTGTTATTCTTCATTATAAAAAAAAAAAAAAAATTAAAAATAATATTTAATGAAATATTTTAAATTAAATTTCTAAATATTATTAAAAATTATATTTTAAAATAAAATTAAAACATGGATTTCGTTCGTGGTTTGATTTAAAATTACTAATTTTTTGTTTATTATTTTTAATTTTAAAATTCACAAACAAATCTCACGAAATTAATTGTTAACGATCTTTTAACTTATAACGTATTTCCGGTAAACAAAAAAAATGGCGGAATTTATTTCATTTTACGTAATCAAAACAATAAAAAAGGCCCCGAAAAAAATGTTTAATACTCTATGCTTTTCTCTTTTTTCATTTTTTTTATTTACATTCGGAAATGTAAGATAATCTTTTACTTTTGTTTTTCTTTTTTTTTTTTTTCTTTAATAAAAAACAAAAAATTGTTATTTAGTATTAATGATAATTTAAATATTGTTAAATTTTTTATATAAATGTTATTAAGTTTTATTTAATTTCAAATAGTTCAAGTTTTACAGTTCACATTACGCGAAATTTTCAAATAGTTATTAAAATGGCTAAACTACCTTTGCATAATTTAAAAACAGTTTTTTTTTTTTTTTTAAATGAGTGAGTGAGGATTAAAATTTTTTATAATTAAAATACTTTTATCTAGGTGAAGTTTTTTTTTTATTTTTAGGTATAAAAAAAAATTAAGTGGAATTTTTTGTAATTAATTTTCTTATAATTATTTAACAGAATTGATAGATTTTTTAAAATTAATAATTATGTTTATTAGTTTTATTTTTAAAATATCAAAAGTGGCTAAACAAAGCTTTAAAAAAAAAATTAACATTTCAACAGCTAATAGTTGCGTAAAAACTTTTAAAGCGAGTAATTATGACAATATTTTAAAAAAAAGTCCCTTATTTAACCCTAACAAAATTTATTTTCATACTTCCAATCCTAGAAATGCAATTCCTCCTATACTAGTGTTGGCATTAAGATCTATTGTAAAACTCGGACCTGTGATTTCTGGTAGAATAATTAGACGTTGGTGGCAAAAATTGCCTCAAGAAGAAAAAGAAAAAATTTTACAGCAAATTTATTCGAAGAAAACTAAAATTGCTTGTTGTGGAACAATATTTATTGGTGCATTGTATTTGTATTATTTAGAAAATATCACTGAAGAACCTTTAACAAAAAGAAAGAGATTTATGGTTCTAAATCAAAAACAATTATATCAAATTGCAGAATTTGAATATAATCAACAAATGAGAACTTATAAGCAGAACATTGTTCCAGCCTGGCATCCCTTGTATAGGAGAGTCACCAGAGTTGCTAACAATTTGTTATTATCAAATAGAGATTTGAAAGAAATCAGAGACAAAACTTGGACGGTGATTGTAGTGGACAGACCAGATATAACAAATGCCTTTGCTCTTCCACATGGGAAAATTTTTGTGTTTACTGGAATGCTTAATTTGTGCACAAATGACCACCAGCTAGCAATTGTTTTAGCTCATGAAATTTCTCATTCAATTTTATCTCATACTGCAGAAAGCATGAGCAAGATATTTTTGATGGAGTTCATTCTTATAATTCCATCTTTGATTTTTTGGTCTATTCTTTCTGATGCTTGGGCCTTGTTTTCAGAATGGATTACAGCTAATATTGCTAGTGTTTTAATTCATCTTCCTTTCAGTCGAGCAATTGAAAAGGAAGCAGATTTTGTTGGTTTGCAACTTGCAGCAAAATCATGTTATGATATTCGAGAAGCACCAATTTTTTGGGGGAAACTAAAAGTTTTAAGTTCAGATGCAGTGTTAGAATGGCTATCAACACACCCAAGGCATGAGTCAAGACAATCAGAATTAAAGGAATTATTGCCACAAGCACTGGAACTTAGAGAAAAGAGTAATTGTCCTCCACTTGTTTCAAATATTCATTATTTTCCATGGGCAATGTAGTAATAAATTATACAGTTTTATTGAATTTAAATTTTTTTTTTTTTTTTGTAAAAAATAAGTTATATTCCATATAGCATGTGTTATAGGTCTTTATTAGTTGTTTTTTTTTTTTTGGTTTTCAAATGATGAATTAAGTAAAATTTAAAATGTTATTATTTAATGCAATAAAAGATTTTATTAAATAATTTAAAATAAATTAAACAATCAAAAATAAAATAATAATTTATTTAAATACAAAACATTTCTATTTAAAAAAAAATAAATTAAATTATCTTAATCAATAAAATAATATATATATATATATGTAAATTAAAAATATTTTTCTTTATAGTAATAAACTAATATAAATAAATAAGTATACTTTTATTTAAATGGATATGTCAACTGCAACAAAAAAAAAAAAGAATTTTTTTTAATTTTTTATTATTTGTCTTTTATTATTTTTTGTGTATGGAATTGTTAAAAATTGTAAGTGCCTGTTGAATTATGTTTTTTTTTTTTTTTTTTTTTTTTTTTTTTTTTTTTTTTTTTTTAAGGTTTAACAAATAAATTAACAAAAACGTTATTTTTAGGAAATGTGAAGGAATTTTTAAATTTTATATAAAACTTACTAATACTTTTTGAACAAAATTACGTCAGTCAAAAAACAGGTTTTCGTAAGCCGATTTTTTAAGCAGGTTTCCTATTATGTAATTCAAAGCTTTGGCCATGCGTAACGAGCAGGAATTGCTGAAGAATAAGACGTATCGTAAAGTTCTGCTTTTATGAAATTTTCCTTGTCCAGAGGTTCCGGAAACACCGATGCAACTCCTAAAAATTTACAAGAGATCCGTTAATAAGCAAAAATAAGGTTCGATTCAAAAATAAAAAAAATTAGGTTTAATTGTAACATTGTAATACCTGTTTTATAGGCGTAATCCGCTACACGAACAGCAATTTTAGTAGAGCAGTTTTGGATGGCGGCCAAAGGAGGATATAAGCTTCCTCTATCGAGATCTCGTTCGGATACAAGATCAGCTAAAGCTTGAGCAGCCACCAAAAACAACTCGTTGCTAATTGTCTTGATGCCTACACAAATAACTCCTAAGGCAACTCCAGGAAAAATGTAAGAATTGTTTCCTTGTCCAGGATAAAATGTTTGACCGTTATACGTGACTGGAAGAAAAGGGGATCCGCTAGCAAATACACATTTACCCTAAATTAAAAAAAAAAAAAATTTACAACATGTTTTTTCCTTCATTATAGTAGCCTAAATTTTATAACAAACCATTGTGGCCGTGTAAGCTTGTTCGGCAGTACATTCCGCTTTAGCCGTTGGATTACTCAAAGCAAATATAATTGGCCTTTCATTATTTTTAGCCATTTCCTTCAGAATTTCAGTAGTAAAAGCTCCTGCAACTGCGGCTGCTCCTATAGTGCAAATGGTAAGAATAACAGTCAACAACTTTGTATTTTTTTTTTTTTTTACTTTTATTATGTCTTATTAATATTTTATCAAACTTACCAATTAAAACATTTGGTTTTGCACTTTTTACTACCTCTAAAAGAGTAGACACAGGGGCCCGATTTTGAGCAAACCGAAGCTTATGGGAAGTCAACCCTTCTCTGCCTTTTACAATCAATCCTTTGGAATCTACCATCCAAATTTTAGACTTGGCATCTTCAATCGAAGTTCCTTCTTTTGCCATGGCTCTGACAATGAGTTCGGCTATACCCAAAGAAGCTTCTCCGGCTCCTTGAAAAACTATAGTGTAATCCGAAAGTCTAGACTTGGTAATACGAAGAGAAGCTAAAAGTCCGGCTACGGCTACTGATGCCGTACCTTGAATATCATCGTTGAAAGTACAATATTTTTCTTGGTACGTTTCAAGAAGTCGAAAAGCATTTTGATTACCAAAATCTTCAAACTGAGTGGAAAAAAAAAATTTCAATGATGTATTATTTTATAAAAACATTAATTTTATTTCCTCTTGATAAAATGGCAACAAAATGTCTAAATATTAAATTTTTTTCAAACCTGAATGAGTACATTTTGTCCGAATCTTCTCACAGAAGCTTCCATAAATTCATTGATGAAAGCATAATATTCAGGACCAGTTACTCTATTTTGTCTCAAACCTATGTATAAAGGATCATTTAAGAAGGCTTGATTGTTAGTTCCCACATCTAAAGTGATTGGGAGACATTGATGAGGTTTGATTCCAGCCAAGGCTGTATAAAGAGAAAGTTTTCCAACAGGAATTCCCATTCCACAAACACCCAAATCGCCCAGACCCAGAATTCGCTCTCCATCGGTGACAACAATAGCTCGTACATCTCTTTCGGGCCTGGAATATTTTTTCAATCAGTTAAGTATAAAGCACGGAACTTTAAGGTTAGAATATAATTTTACATGAATTTAAAAATCTGTTTATTTTCTTACCAGTTTTTAAGAACATCGTAAATATGTCCTTTATCGTGAATGGTTATGAATAAACCTCTTGGTCTTCTAAAAATCAAACCATATTTTTGACAAGCCAAACCTACAGTTGGAGTATACACGAGAGGCATATATTGTTCAACATTTTCTTGCAAAAGCTTGTAAAAAAGACGTTCGTTACGATCCTGAAGACCCATCAAATATATGTATTTGCTCAAATCACTGTCGTATCCTTCTACGTTTAACTTACACAAACGAATTTGTTCTTCTTGGGTTTTAATGCATGGCGGAAGAAGTCCGTGAATACCTAAACTTTGCCTTTCTTCGATAGTAAAAGCCATGCCCTAAAAAAAAAAAAATCATTTTTTTCATTTATTTTTCGTTATTAATGAGTGTTTTCATTGCTATAAAAGGAAACTTTTGAAGGATATCAAACAGAATGTATTATTATTATTATTATTATTAATATTATTTTTTATTTTCATTTCAGGTATCAGAAGAATCGAGTAAAGTATTTCGCTGATACAAGGTAAAATAAACCTTTCAGAACCTCTTAATTTATTAATTAAGTTTAATAAAAAATTTTTAAAATTAGGTTTATAAAAAAATAATAATAATAATACTTCATTATTTTTAAGGTGAGTGTTTTTACTTAAGATTAAAATTTATGTATTTATATATATATATTATTTAAACACTTTTTTTTTTTTTTTTTTTTTATATATAGAGGCAGGTGAACTTTGATACGTCTAATTGTACGTTTAATAGAGAAACACGTTTAAATCCAAGGTAAATATAATTATTATTATTATTTTTTACCATTTTTTAAAAATGTTTAAATTGGTGTGATTTAGTATAATGTAATTATATTAAAATAATAATCTTTGATTTATAGTAATTGTTTTTTTTCTTTTTTTCCACAGATGCGGCTTTCAGTTTTTTTTTTCTTCATCTAATCACCATCATCTGACCCTTCAAAAAATAGAAAAGATGTTTCGAACCTCTTAGAAGGTCTCTTTTAAAATGAACCTCCTGTAAAAGGTAAGTTATTTTACATTATTTTATTAACTTTTTTGATGAGTTAAGTCGGTAATTACACCGTAGGAGTTATTATTTTAATAATAATTTAATTAACAATCAATTTAATAAGATTTAATAAATAAAATAAATTAAGTGAAAGGATTTATATATATATTGATTGTAATTCAATGTTGATCGATATCATATAAACCACCCACCGACCTCACTTGTTTAAAAAAAGAATAATAAAATAAATATTTAACAATAAATTGTGTGTCAGGCCAGGGTTGAACTAAGATATTCCATTCCATTTTTTTTTTTTATATGTGCAATTTTTTTTAAAAGGGTTATCGAATTGAATAATTCAATGAAAGTTGTTGTTGTTGTTGTTGTTTGTAGTATGTAATGTGAGAATAAAAAAAGGTAGAGTGAAAACAAGTTTTTTTTAGCAAGGTTGTGTAAAACGTACATTATTATTATTATTATTATTTCATCGAATTATCACAATGGGGAAAATTATAATAGTTAAAATATATAATTTTCATTTAAATTAATTAATAAATGAATTCCCAAGGACCAGATGTACAAAAAAAAAAAAAATTTAATACAAATGCAAATTCATTATTTAAATAAATATTAATAATTATTTATTTAACAAAACAAACAAACAAACAAATAGTTTTATATGATCGATTTAAATATTTTCACATTAATTTTAATCACATTGATTTTATTATAAATAATTTTTTTATTATTATTTTTATTATTATGAATTTTATTCAATTTTTATCTCGGTTTTCATTTTATAATATTTTACTCGATTTTGATTAATAACGTTTTAAATATTTTTCTTTTTTTTTTTTTTTTACTCTTAACTAACAATATTTTGCAAAAGGGTAATAAAATTTTATTTTAACGACTTTAAAGTAATAGTAATAAAAAAATTTAAAATTTTGAATTTACTATATTTAGACTGCATAAGGAACTTGATAAGATTTTACTTTATTTACAAGTTTAATACGGACACTAAACTATTTATTTTATTCGAAAAAAATTAATAAGAGTTTATTAATATTTTTACTACCCTAATTTTTATATTTTATTATTATTATTATTATTATTAACCTTGACAATTATAAAATCTAGACATTTGCGTTGTACGAATTAACTCCTACGACACGTTATTTTACATTTTTATAAAATGATTTATTTTTTTCACCTACAATCTAACTTCCAAGGATATTTTTTATTGTTTTTTTTTTAAATAGTTTTAATAATTAAATAATATAATAAATTAACCTACAAATGTTTCGCAAAAAAAAAAAATGATTTTCTGGCAAAATTAAATTTTCTTTTTTTTATTTTCGAGGTTTTATAATTAATTAATCAACTTGAATCTATCATTAAATAATTATTATTACAATCACATAAAGAATAAAATAATAAAATCCAAGTGAATTATTATCATTATTATTATTTTTTATAAAGAAAAACATCAATTTGTACTTTATGTTATACCTTAAGGTTAAGGTACACGCGTAATTTTTTTTAATTTTGAAAATTTCAGGGGCTGACACGTGGATTCCCCCAATACCCATTAATTTTAAATTTTTATTATTAAAAGGCGGTATTAATAAATAAATAAACCTAATGTCTTTGAATTTTTACTTTTCGTACCTTATAATAATAATAATAATAATAAAATGTTTTAAAATTTGGTTTTGGCCTCGAATTGAATTTAATGACTCATTGAATTGAGTCTATATTAAAACTATATATATATTTAACAGTTTTTTTTTAAAATATTAATAATAATGACATTTTCAGTATTAGAATGAAAGAAAGTGAAAGGAATAAAAATGAATCAGATCATTCATTATTTTTTTTTGAAAAGTTAAGGTTTTTAAATTATGAATTAGGTCGGTTAACAGAGGTCAAGTTGCTAAAAAAAAAAAAAAAAAAAAAATTATTAATATCTATGCGTACATGTATTCAATCGAAAGGAAGAAGTTATTGTAAAAATTATTAAATTACATACATAACATAAACGATTTAAGTTACATTTTTAAAAAAAAAAAAACATATAATTATAAATAATTTTCTAGAGTTTTAAATATAGTTTTGTTTTATACTTAAAAAAAAAAAAAAATTCGTTAAAACTGTTTACGTTTTTTTTTCAAAAATTGAGCAATCAAATAATAATAATATCAAATAAATAACAGTTTTAAATTAAAATTTAAGCGGAGTTTTTTATTTTTTTTTACTGTCATTATAAAAATAAATTAAATGAAAAGCACAGTAAACGTATAAAAAAATAATAATAATAATAATTTTGAAACCCGTATTTGGCCATATTTCGTGCATTTAAGAATTCATAGAATTTTATTAAAGACGAAGGAATGTCAGACAGTCGGCTAAATATTAAATCGAAATCGAAAAAAAAAAAAAAAAACGGGCCCGACTTTATTTTTTTTCTTTCTAATAAAACAAACACAACGACTAAACAATTTAAAATAAAATTAAAAATTTCATAAATTGATAGAATGTGAAAGCGGAAAAGATTTTAATTGGGAAACGCCTAATGACATCCTTAATCGATTAAAAAAAAAAAAATTTTTTTTTTTTTAAATTTCTAACGTAAATGACTTGACGAATTTCCAACGATTGCCACGATTTACTTCTACGAAAAAAAAAATTTATTAATCAAAATCACAACGAACCTCCTGTATTTTATCATTGACGGATAAAATCATAAATGAATTCATATCGATTTTGTATGTTTCGCATGAGACGAAAAAAAAAAAATCCTGTTCGTAACGTAAACGGTGATATACATACTGTCTCGTAATTTTCCACCGTGTGGAAATTCATAATTGTTTTCCTCGTATTTTCCTCACGGAATTTTTTTATAAAATGCTAATTAAATATTTTATATATATATAATTGGGAAAACCTCATCGCATTAAATTTCTGCATTTAATAATAATAATAATGATGATGAAATTTTTTTATTTATAAATTTCTGACGTGATAATTTTAATTGTAAATTTTTATTAAAATAAATTTTGAAAAATGGTGTGAATTATTCGTTTCGGTGGGAAAAAAAGGAACCGCAGATAAGGAAATTGGGGAAAAAAAACAGGAATTCAGGAATCAAAATTGTCAGGATGTGGAGAACTAAAACGGAAATAGTTACCCAGAATACTGGAAAGCAATTCGAAAAGAGTTTTTTCACCTTTTTAAAATATTAATTCTGCCTTGTTATAAATTAATTCGCCATTACTAAAATTAGTAATAATAATAATAATGATGATAATACAAAAATGCAAAAATTGAATTTCTCTTTTTAAAAATATGTTTTGAAAAAAAAAAAAAAAAACTTTGAGTGAAAGCCAGAATAAAAATTTTACGCATAAACAAACACACAAGTGACATTTTATATAAATTTTTACCCAAAATTCTTCGATATCCATTTCCGGAGGGAAAAAAATTTAATTTCATTATTCACAAACTCAAACACTTAAATGATGTTTGCTAAGAGAAAATATAATAATAATAATAACAAAACGGTTTTAATCCAAAAAAAAAAAATCAATAAAATTTCATTAGGGTCAACAGTAAATATGGCGATTATGAGATGAAATTTTACGGAAACGAAACAAAATTTTTTTTTGTACGACCCATAAAAAAAAAAAATGACTAACTCCTTTCTTTTTTTTTTTTTTTTTTACTATATAATAACAAATAAAAAATTTATCATTTGAAATCATTTCGATATATATATAATTTACATAAAATAGTTCATGGTTGATTGGATTTAACGATTTTTAAATGAATTTTTTTTTTTTTTTTTTTTAATTTTATCAGGAGGTATTTATTTTATTTATGTAATATTTTATCAGGAAAAAAAAATTTATTTTTTATTTTTATTTGATAATCATTATTATTTCTCTTCATATTTTTTCAAAGTTGTTTAATTATATTAACAAAAATGTCAATCACAATTATGACAATCAATAATGATAATTTTGCATTGAAATCAATTAAATTAATTAATTATTTTAACAAAATATTATTTATATATTTATTGAGGGAAAGAAAATTTTTTTTTAAAAATATCAAGTATTTATTATTTTAAAAATAAATAAATAAATTTTTTTTTTATATAAACGCATTAGGTCAAATCTCTGACCTAGAAATGAGGCATATTTTTGCAATAAAAAAAGAGAGAGAGAGAGAGAAAATAAATAAATAAATAAAGAAAGAAAACTAGGTCTTTTTTTACATGAATCAAAGTATATTTTAAGCCTTCACGTTCTAATAAAAAAAAAAAAAAAAAAAAAATTAGTAAATTGATTAAGACACAAATTTATGTAATTTCTTAATAGATAAAACCTATCTTATTAAAATTAAATAATAACGTTACTAAATTATTAAATTAACCAATTAATAACATGTCTCAACTCAACTACTTGCTAACAATAAATAAATAAATAAATAAAATTTTTTTTAAATAATTAAAAAAAAAAAAAAATTGTTTTTAATAGAAGCACATTTACAATAACAAAACCATTTAAAATCAACCAAATGAAACTTTCATTTATTATTATTATTTAATTTTTTTTGTTGTTGTTATTAATGCAAAAATTACATAATTTCCTTTAGGAAAAATTTTACTTAATAAAACATTTAATAACCTTGAATATTTCTCACAAAAGTGACGGTTAAAATTACTAAAAAAAAAAAAAGCCCTTAAGGATCAGGTCAGTGTCATTATTTAAATAATTATTATTTCTATTTTAGTTTTTTCTGTTTTTTTTTTTCACTTACATTTTTATTTTAAAAAAATCCCTTATTAATAAAATATATAAATTTATTAAAAATAAATTTACCCTGCTATCAGAAGACAATAAATTATCAAAAATACATTTATAATAGTATGAGTCAGTAAATATGGAAATCCACCAATCGCACATAATTAATATTCACATAGAATAATTTAACATTTTTTACTTATTTATTAAGTCAATCAATCAATCAATCAATCACAATCGTTTATATTTGCATAAATAAAAATTAACCCAAAAAAAAAAAAAAAAAAAAAATGATGACTGACTACTATTGAAAATTATTAACAAAAAAAATTGTTTCAATTATTACCGGACATACCGATCGTTAACCACAAAAAAAAAAAAAAGAAAAACTCAAACGTTTTCCCCCCAAAAAAAAAAAAGAGGAAAATTTTCATGCATTATTCAATGTTTTTTTCGTTTTTTATTTAATCGATAAATTTAAATGAGAGAGAGAGTATATAATAATAACCGCCATTTTAGAATTTTTTTTTTTTTTTTTTAAATTTAAATTTATAACGTAATAAATTGTTTATGTATTTATATACAATTAACAATGAACGTTTTGATAAAATATTATTACTTATTTACATAATATACTACAAAATGTGTGAATTATTATTTTTTAATAACTAAACAAATAATAATAATAATAATAATAATAATTTAATAACAAATATATAGTTCTCATAATAATAATATTACTTAAAAAAGGTTATGTTTGATCAAGTATAATTTAAACAATAATTTCTTTTTTTTAAAATAATTAATTTTATATAATTATAAAGCTTAAAAGTGACAGTTTAAACAAATAATAATAATAATAAAATTTCAACTCATTAATGATGATAATAATTTTCTTTTCTTTAAATTAAAAACATAATATGAAGTTAAGTGGGAAGTGGGGATACATTTAAATTGCTTAAAAATATATAATTAAACATTTTTTTTCTTGTTTTCCTTTTCATACATTTAATGATTAATGATTGAAATTATTTTTATTTTTTTCATGACAAAAATTTTAAGACATTTACCTCTATATATAATTTGCATTTGAATTATTATTATTATTATTATTTATATTTGAAATATTTACTACCTTGTTCAATTGAGGATCTCTCAAGTGATCTATCCCTCGGGTTTGATTATGAATAATATTATCACCGGTATATTCTCCATGCGTCCATTGTCCAACACGATCTTTAAACATTTTTATTTTTTTATTTTGTACCACCGATACTTTTCCTAATAAAAACTCAACTAATAATTGAAATAAAACAAAGGTATATTAAATAGTTTTAAGTTTTTTAACCTTATCATGTATGTATATTACGGCTTCTCCATTGGTCGTTTTATGAAAAGCAGCTGATGCGCACTGTACTTGCGCAGTAAAATAAAATTAATGTTAAATTAATTACATTTATTCTTTTTCACACATTAATTTTTTAACAATTGAAAATAAAAAAAAAAAAAAATTATTAATTAGTTTAATACGTACAATATTTGAGAAATTCAATAATAATAATAATAATATCAATAATTTTAAATTTATTATTTAAACAACCCCTTTGACTTTTTTTTTTTTTTTTCTATCTTTGAAATAATTGCATGTTCATGCATACAAAATCCCTTCTTCTTCTAATAAAACATTTTCAAAAATTTACAATTTTTTTAAATATTTTATTTAAATAAAAAGTAATTAATATAGTAATTATCGTAGTGAGTAATCTAAACCTATGAGTATTTTATACTGAATTACATAATTAATAAAATACTCTGTCTCATGACTTTTAAGGTCACAAAAAATTACCAACTAATCTAATAAAATAAAATAAAATTTGATTTAACTAATAAATGTATTAAATTTTAAATCACAATAAAATAAATAAATAAAAATATATATAATAATTAACAAAGGTATAGTTTTAAAACACTATCATCATCTCATATTATTTTTATCACATATTACTTAATTTACATAGTAAACATTTTTCTGAAAAAAATTTTTTTTTTTTTTTTTTACTTTATTATTGTTGATTTTTAATTACTAATAATAATAATAATAATAACTTTTTTTATTGCTATATACTGCGTGTAAAATTTTGTGAGTGTTATTATAAACATTAATATACCTTGAAATAAGATGTGATGAAAAAACAGGAGAAGGATTCAGGATAACACATTCTCGACAAAATTTTTTTTGTAATCAGATTATTTAATAATCTTGAGGTTTAAATTATATGAAAGGTTACTGGGAAAACATGCACATATAGTTGGATTCCAGTATTAATTAACAAGCATAGGAGACATCTAAAAATAATAATAATTTATCAATAATAGAGTATTATTACTTCATATTAATAAATAAAATAAATGTCAAATATTTTAGATTATAATTTAAATTTTTTGAAAATATTATTTTTTTCTAAAACATGAAATTGATTCAATTTTTGGCTATTCTTTTTTTTGGTTAGTTTAATTTTAACTAATACGATTTTAAAAAAAAAAACAATATAATACAACTTATATTGTAAATAATTAAAAAAAAAAAAAAATTTAAATACTGATTTTGTCATTAAAAATCTCTTTGGTGTAAAAAATAAGCACCAATACTTTCTAACCAAATAACTTAATTAATTCCTACATAAAATAATAAAATTTATTAAAATTGACTTGTTACTTAAAAAAAAAAAAATAATTTAAATACTGACGAATGACATAATACTTGAATTTTGCCTAAATAATACGAAAAATACTATCAGTAAATAATAATAATAATAATGAGACCTTAAAATCAAAAAAAAAAAAAAAACTAAAAACGAATGATTATTTCATTTTAACCATTACGATTTTCTCCGACTAGAAACCACAATTTAAAAAAAAAAAAAAAAAAAAAATTATTTAAAATATTAGCAAATACTTTTTTTTTTTTTTTTGTTTTAATATTTTGGGTGACCTGCCTTTACGGGTATATTAACAGCATCTTGATGAGGCCACGTGTATGTACTCGGAAGAACACTCTCATAATGATAATCATACATCTGACCCTCAATAAATGCTCTTTTGCTGGGAGGCTCTGGATAATGAGTGGCCAAGCCTAAAAAATATAAGGAATATTTTATATTAGGATACCTCGTTTCTGGTCTTTTTAAGATAACCTATGAAACATGTTAAAAAACTTAATGTCGAATCGATTTCGTTTTATTTTCACAGAAAATTTTACTAACCTTTTTCGTAAGCATATTTAGCTATATCTGTAGCGATTTGAACTGAACAAGTTCGAATACTGTTTAACGGTGGGTATATACTTCCTTTTTCTAAATCTGCATCAGACACGCTGTCAGCCAATGCCTAAAGTATGAATAATATTACTTTTGATATTTATAAAAATATCAATTTTATGTTTTTTACTTTAACCGACTAAAACAAATTTGTAAGGAAAAAAAAAAAAAAAAAAAAAAACAAACCTGAGCTGCCAATATAAACAAATGATTTGAAATATGATGCATTCCAGTTGCGATGACACCCAATGCAACTCCTGGGAATATATATGCATTATTTCCTTGACCCGTTTTATATGTCTTACCATTATATGTTACCGGAGGAAAAGGAGAGCCGCTAGCAAATATACACCGACCCTCAGTATGAATGTAAGCCTGTTCAGCAGTGCATTCGGCTTTACTTGTCGGATTACTCAAGGCAAATATTATCGGCCTCTCATTATATTCTGCCATTTTTTTTAATATTTCTGGAGTGAAAGCTCCAGCTGCTGCCGAGGCTCCAATCATAATTGATGGCTTTATATCTGTTACAACTGATAATAAATCTTTTGTTGGAGCATGGTCTTTGACATAAGCACTCTTATGTCCATCAAGTTTCCCTTCGGGCCTGTCTTTAGCGAGTAATCCATCTATGTCCACCATCCAAATTTTCTTTCTTGCTTCTTCAATTGACAAACCTTCTGTTCTCATGGCAGTTGTGCAGAGATTAGCTATGCCAACTGCTGCCTCACCCGCTCCCAAAAATAAAATCGTATGATCGGAGAGATTTTTTCCCGTTAATCTTTTAGTTACTAACAATCCAGCGACAGCAACTGCTGCAGTTCCCTGAATATCATCGTTAAAAGTGCAATATGAATCAATGTATTTGTCCAAAAATCGAAAGGCATTATGATTACCAAAGTCCTCAAACTAAAAACAAATACGTTTCTAATTTAATACATTACGAACAAAAATTTTGTATTTTTAATAAATTGCAGAACAAGAATAAAAAATAATTCAAAAATAATTACTTTTATAAACTTTAATTTTGTCCATTAGATTCTAAATATTTTAATGTACGAAAACAAAAAAATTAAATTTTCATTTCCCTCTTAATCTACTGTTAGAAAGTTCTACCAACTCAACAAATTTTTTTTTTTTACTGTAAAGCATAATAATAAAAATTTTAACCTGAATTAGAGTATTGCAACCATAACGTTTCACTACGGCTTGCATAAATTCGTCAATAAATTCATCGTATCTGGAACCGGTAACACGCCTTTGACGTAAGCCAACATATAAAGGGTCTTCCAATAATTGTGAATTATTTGTTCCAACGTCAAGCGTGATAGGGAGACACTGATGAGGTTTAATCCCAGCTAATGCAGTGTAAAGTGAAAGTTTTCCAACAGGTATTCCCATTCCGCAAGCTCCTAAATCTCCTAGTCCTAAAATACGTTCTCCATCTGTCACGCATATGGCTTTGACATCAGATTCTGGCCTTTACAGGTGCATACAAACAAAATTTTTCATAATTCGTGAAAGAAAAAAAAAAAAACGCAAAGCTGTAAATAATAATAAAATTACCAATTTCTTAAAACTTCAAAAACATGATTTTTATCATTGATTGTAATAAATAATCCTCTTGGTCTTCTGTAAATGAGGCCAAACTTTTGGCAAGCCAATCCAACTGTTGGGGTGTATACGATAGGCATTAACATTTCTATATTCTCTGATAACAAACGAAAAAATAATTTTTCATTTCTTTCTTGTAATTCGCACAGATACAAATATTTATTTAAATCTTCTTTATATCTTTCAACTGATATTTTACACAATTCTACTTGTTCTTCTTGTGTTTTAAATTTTGGTGGCATGAGTCCATGAATACCTAAAATTTGTCTTTCTTCTAATGTGAAAGCTAAACCCTACAATTAATTATTCAAAATAAAAACGGCTTTTAAAAAAAATGAAAATAGTATCATTAACACAATCGAGTTTTTAAAGTTGGAACATTAAGGATGTCTCACCTCATACCAACCTTATTTAATCTAGGGTCTCTTAAATGACTGATGCCCATAATTCTAGATGGAGTAAGAATATCTCCTGTAACTTCATGATAATTTTTCTTTTGTATGAAATTTACTCTGGGAACTTTTAGCAATGATTTTTTACCAGAAACCTATTTAAAATTTACATCGAAACATATATCATGAATTGTAAACCATATAAAAGAAATATTTACAAACACATTTTTAGAATGAATTTATAAAGTGTTAATTACTAAATTTAATTACTCACCACTTTGCTTAGTTTACATGCATGACTTATTGTTTTAGTAGAATGACTAGAAATAAAGCAAGGAAATTCTAGATATTGCTTTAAGTTTCCAATATTGTTCGTTTTATGGCTAATAATATTTTTGTGAACTGCATGAAGGACATGATTTTTTCTTTTGGCAAATGAAAATGCACTGCATTTAGTTCTGAAAAAAAAAAAAATAAAATACAATTAATTTGAACATTTTAACTTTTGAATTCAATTAATCATTATTATTTTATTATGACATAAATTATATAATCAAATTATAATTTTCAATATTAAAATACTTTATTAATGGTAGTAGTTTATAAGTAATTAACAAATAATAATTTTAATATTAATATTAATAAGTAAGGTAACAATAGTAGTAAATGTTAAATTTCAAATAAAAAATTAAACACAATTAATAGCTATAGAGTTTACTGGATTTGTGCCATCCAAAAAAACAATATGTGAAAAAATTATATATTTAAAGCGAATATTTTATTTAATTAATCAATATTTTTAAAAGTTTAAATTAAAAGAGCTTATTATTATGGTGTGAAAGAATTGAAATTATTTATTTATATTCGTTATACATATTTCTGTCGTTATTATTTTTAATAAAAAAATGGTTAAAATATGAAGTTAAAAGTGATAAAAATTAATGAGAGTAAATTATATTCTCAGTAAATTAATTTAAAATTAAACTACTTACGATGTACATTTAGGCAGTATCGTCCACATTTTTATTTTTTTTTTTTTTTTTGGTTTTAACAGAAATAAAAATGAATATTCCCTCTAATTCGGTAACGCTGCGCAGGATCGTTAAAGGTTTATTTTTGCTTTAGCGGCGATACTCGAAATGTAATCAAGAGTTATTTTAATAAATCAGGCATTTCTTCATTATATTAACGTTACTCATGATTGTTTTTTCGCCTTGATCTAAACTGGTAAATAATTTTTAAAATTTTATATACCACCGAGCCAAATTTTTATTTTTTTTTTTAAATAAATGTATAATTAACAATAAAAAAGTAATAAGTAAAGGACATATTGATTTAAGGAACTCACTAACCAAATTTAGTAAGACTATCTAATCGCAAAATTTGACTCTTCTGCTATTCCGCTCGTATTTATAGCGCCAACTTAAACGACAATAAGAAAAAAATTTTTTTTTCTCATGCATAAATTAAAATTTTAACGTCCATTTTGTTTTGCAGCTGTTAATTAATGTTATGTCCGAAATTATAACCTAATATTTTACAGTTTTAATGTTAAAAATAATATTAAAAAAAGCAACTTTTTCTTGTTAATTAAGTAGTGTGAAAGATTAAAAACTAAAAATTCTAGAATGTGTAAAAATAAAAAGACTTCTGTTATAAGAATAAGTGATTTATTAAAAAAAAAAAAAAAGCTAAAACTTAATTTAATAAAAATCAAGCTTGTATACAATAATATTAAAACAGGCTATTCCACGTTATGTAAATAGGAACAATTAACATTTAAAAAATAATCTATAAATTCAAAAAAAAAAAAAAAAAAAAAAAAGTTTTGTTCCAATAACATGTCGAATGTAACTTTTTCTTTAAAATTTTAATTTACATTTTATATTAGTAAAAATAATACTTGCAACGTTGCAGTACTTATTTACTGTTACTCTGCAAAACACTTTTTTCTTTTTTTGTTACCATTAAAATAAATTAAAATTTTAAACGGATAACTCTTGGATTATAAGAAACAATAACACAAAATTATCGTAAGCAGTAAATAATAATTCTTTGTTTCCTTTTTAACAATTGTTTGTCTTTTCTAATGAATTTGTATTAGTTGATTTTTCATCTTTTTCTAATTTCAATGGAATTATGGTATCCTGATGATTAACACAGTTGAGTGAAGTTTTAACACCTTGGTAATTCCAATCTTGAATTTTAGATGTTCCAAATATTTGAAAAAATATATATGTTATGCAAGCAACAGCTGCAGAAACCATAAATACCATCCTCCAATTATCAATATCTTCCTAAAATTTCATCAAAAAATTGATGAGTAATTTTGATATAAGTTTCATTCGAAATTAAAAAATAATTTTTTTTTTGAAAAATATTTACTACTTACTCCCTTAGAAAGAATTGAACCTGCTACAAGAGGTGATATAAAACTTGCAGACATATGTACAGTTTGAGCAAAAGCTAAAACGGGTCCAGCATAATTAGGTGCAATATCTACGATACTAGCCATGGCTCCAGCATATGCAGCTGTTATGAGTGTCACAGCAATAAACCATAATATAAATACTGATATAAAATCGCATCCCAAATATCCAATAATGACCAACATTATTCCAGGCACTGCTTGAGCTAAAAACAATAGAAAACATTTTTACTAAAAAAAAAAATACCATTTTAAAATGGATTAGTATTAGTATTAGTATTTCTTACATAAGGCTGTATTTATTTTTCTTATATTAGTGAGACTAAATATGTTTTTCGTATGAAGTTTATCGGCGACATAACAAAATATTACAGACGATAAATAACTTCCGATAAAAGGAGCTCCAGACATGAGCCCATTTTCTTGAATGTTAAGACCTAAAATGGTTTTTATATATTTCGGCCCGGGAATCATGAATGTGTAATGTACCCAAATACGGCCAAAAGTAGTGATCCCTATTGACCAAGCTGGTAAAGATGTTAATACTTTTTTCCACGGCACTACTTTTTTCTAAATTAAAAATAAAATTTAATGAATAATAATAATAATTGTAGGGATATCCGTTAGTAGTCAATTCTTACTTTTGCGGTTACAACCGTTGATCCAACATGCAATCGAATATATTCTAATTCTAATGGTGAGATTCTCGGATGATTTTCGGGCTCGTCGAATGCGAAAAAATACCAAAAAGTACACCAAATAATTCCCAGCATTCCAGTGACGTAAAAAACAACTCTCCAACCAAAATTTGCTATTATAATACCAGCGAGCATATAAGTTACGCCAATACCAAAACTAAAACCTGGAAATCGTTTGGATTTTTATAAATTTTTTTTTTTAAATACTTAAAAGGGTTTTTTTTTTATACCTTGAAATGATGACATAAACCTGCTTCTCTCATGAGACGGAATCCAGTGTCCGACAGCAGCATACATAGCTGGCCACGTTAGACCCGATGCTATTCCTTGAATTGATCTTAGCAGTACTAAAACTAACCAATGTATGCTTGCACAACTGGGTATAAGTAACGAACATATTGCGGTTGCTAGTTGAGAACCACCGAATATTAGTTTTGTACCAAATTTTTGAGTAAGAATTCCTCCTGCCACCTGAAATTAATGTCTGATAATTAATTTCTTCCTTTTTTTTTTTAATTGAATTTTTTCTTTTTAAAAATAAATTTTACTTGTGACAAAACGTAACACCAATAAAAAGAACTTATGATCACTGATTGAATATTTGGACTCCACTCAAACTCACCCTCTTCATCCTACAATAAAGGGAAAAAAAAAAATTTTTCTTTAATTATTAGTGACTCTATCTATTATTATTATTATTATTATTATTATTATTATTCAGTAATAACAATAATCTATCTATAAACTTATATAATTTAAAATAATTTTATGTATTAAATTTTATTTTTTTATTATGCCGGTAAATAAGTCATTTTGAAATAAAAATACGACAATTTTTTTTTTTTTTTTTTTTGTATTGAATCCTAATGATAATAAAACAATTTTTAATTGCTTTCGCAATGAGCCTAAAAAAAAAAAAAAGTTAAACAAGAGTGACCGTGAACGCGATATGAATTCGTCATCCTCCAGTAATTTAAATTGTGCCTATAAATTATAAAGCATCATTTTACATAAAAAAAATTGAATGCCAATTTACTACACAACATTTATTTCCACTTCAATGAAAAAAAAATTAAATTTTGTTATAATCTTACTTTATAAGAATTATCAGATTCATTATTGTAAACGTAACAATAACTTGGATTTGTATTTTGTTGTCCGCTTATGTTTCCACTTTTATTTTCTGATGATTTAGCCATAGCCACCATGGCAATGTTCATGTCTGTTCTCATCATAAAGCTTACTAAAAATCCGGTAAATGATAAAATATAGAGTACGACACGAGCTGGAACTACGTCTAAAAAATAAATAATTTATAAATTACCAAAAAGAAACATTATGGGTCTAGGGAAAAAAAAAAAAAAAAAAAAATTTTTTTTCTTTTTCTTTTGTCTTTAAATCTTTTGTTGTCACCTGTTAAATTTTATACTAAACATATTCACATACCTCAATCATATTATTATTATTATTTTACCAATTTTTATTATATTACAACTTACCTGTTTTTTAAACGTTATAATAAATCAAATAATTTATATTCAATAGAAGAATTTCTGGAAATTCATTATAAAATAAAAGCGAACCAGCTTTTTTTTTTAAAGTTAAAGCAAGGAAATGAATAATTACAAATTTTTAATTTAATTATTCTATAAAAAAAAAAAAAAATAAATAAATAAAAGCGAATGGTTATAACTCTATTCAGAATGGTCACTTTCCTCTTGTTGTTATTATTATGATTTAAGATTAGAAGAAAAATAATAAATAAATTAACAAAGAAAAATAATTCAAATAAATTAGAAAATTCAGTAAATTTCTATATAGTTGAATTTTAGTTATTTTTGTATAAAAAAAAAAAAAAAAATTTTTATGCATCGAAATCTTTCTACTAACAAATATAATGAATGATAAATAAATAATTATTAAGGCCAAAAATTTAGGAAAAATAAATAAAAACGAATATTTTTAATAAAAAAAACCAAAATAATAAAAAAAAAAAAATAAATAATTTTCTTCTAATCCTTTTTTTTTTTTTTTTTTTTTTTTTTTGAAAACTAATGCAAAAGTAAACTTACCTTTCATTTTCCTAAAAGAATATTTGTGACCATGATTCGATAACGTGGATTGTTCTGACCTGTAACCATAATTTACACTCTAAGTAACCCCCCGTTCCCCCCTTTAAAAGTGTTGTTTTGAAAATGATATTTTTTGTATAAAATAAAAGTTGTAAAAAAAAAAAATTAGGTCCAGGCGCCGTAACATGCTTATTATTATTATTATTATCATTTTCATTTATTTTTTTTTTAAATAGTATTTAAAATAAATTGTGTAAGATTTTTTTTTCTTTTTCTTTATTTTTATTTTTTAATTTAAAAAACAAAAAAAAAAATTTTTTTTTATAAAAAATGAATGACTTACCTACGACGCTCTTCACCCATGATCACCAATTAAAATATTATAATTGTTTTTAATCAATGAAGTTTTTTTCTTAGTAATAACAGCGACGTCTATAAAACAATAATAAAAAAAAAAAAAATAACAAATTTTAATTATTGTAAAATTAGACAGACAAACAAACAAACAAACAAACTAACAAACGAGTTGTTTTTTTTTTTTTTTTACCATTCCCCCTTAATAAAAAAAAAAAAAATTATATATTAAAATGATAATAATTATCATCATTTAAAATTTTTTTTTTTTATGTATCGACAGGTATATTGAAATTAATTATTTATTAATATGTCAGTCATTAAAATAAAATTTAACCTTTTTGCAAGCAATGACCCGCAAGATAAATTTAAAACCTGATTTTAATGTAAATTAAAAAAATGTTCAAATTTAAAATAACCACATCAAAATAATGCGCAATAACTAAAATACAATTTTAATAAAAACGTTTAGAATAATTATTAATCTATAATAACTAATAATTTATTAAAAATAAACAATAGTTAAATTAAAAAACTAATAAAAAAAAATAAAAAATAAAGTTAGTCAAGAGATTTTTTTTTTTTTTTCCTTATAAAAATTTTGTGATAAAATAAGATAAAAATATTAAAATGGTAACTTATTTATTTTTATTTATGTATATAAAAAATAAGAAAACGTCATATTGTTGAGGACGTATATTATTAATTTTTTTTTTTTTAATTTCTGAGTCGAGGTCGTATTTCAACCCAGTTTTAAATAATTAATCATTTATTAATAATCAATTATTATCGATGTAATATTAAAACGTGGACAACAAATTTTTATTAATAATTTTCCATCATCTGCCCCTTTTTGCGAAAATTTAAATTCTCACCTTATTTATTTTGATTACAAAATAAACCGGCGTAAAAAATAATTTTTTAAAAAAAAATAAACACATACACACAAATTTTGTTTTGATTTGAAACACATCTTATTCGACAAAATATCTTTCATGTGTGTGTGTGTGTGTATATTTTTTTTTTAAATAAATTAAAATTTTAAACAATTTTTTTATTAATTGTTATGATGATGATAATAATAATATAACTTTTTAAAAAAAAACTAGTTATAAAAATAAATGTCTTTTTAAAATAAGAGACAACGAGTTACTGAATTAAAGATGTTGTTTAATAACAAGTCAAAATAAAAAATATCATTTGACTTTGTTACAAGTCATTAACCTCAAAATAATTAATCAACAGTACTTTTTTTTTTTTTTTAAATAAATTAAAAATTTTAATTAAATTTAATTACTACTACTAACTATTAATATTAATAATAACTACTTATCAATTGTGAAATTTAAAAAAAAA